GCAAAATATCTTTAGTAAATAATTTTCGCTCTTCAGAATTTGAATTTATTTCAAAGCGACTTATGACTTTCTGCTCCCTACCTTAACTAAAATTTCTTCTTAATGCCAAATTCTTTTTGAATTTAGTTTTTGCTACCTCCTTCAACTTCGTTACTCTAGGGCTGCTTGACGTCATTGCGCCAAGCAAATTCGTATAGCATAACCGTTAACTCTTTAGAAGTATCGCCATTTTTGAAACAGCAGTGGCAAGCACGCGAGTTTATGCTGGTGGCTTTGAGTTTAAAATCCCAGAAAATATATCAAAATGTGCACATCATCTGATGCACTAAAAGTTCAAGATTTCATTGGGTTCCAAGCAACTAAGCTCTTGCCATTGCCCTTGCTTAAAGCTGCTCATCAAAACTTTACAGCAAACCAGGAACCCGACACGCTAATCAAAGTGTTATAATCTTGCGAGTTTGCTGTGAAAGAATTCGCTACAGAAGTATTTGAGGAATACCCATTCAGATTCCAGCACTTAGAGGAGGAAAATGGAAATATTTAAGAAAAGTACTACATACTTCTGATGATAGAAGGGTATGCTAATGGTCTTTCAAGTGAATTTTGTCCTTGTATCATATATCAGTTCCAACCCTTACTTGGTTGAGGAAGAGCACAATGAGCAAAATATTTATTTAAATATGCATAAAGTCGAGTGCTTGGGTGGAGTTAGCCGAGTGGTTAGTGTTCCACGTTTCCACGATCTCATTTCGGTGAAGTCATGGGTTCGATTCCTCACAGTGACATAATCTTGCCTGCGATTCCAGCGTCAGGCTTACCCTCAGGATGTGCGACAAGCCGTCTGAGTGAGAAACACCCCGTCGCAACAAAATGAGTTCATGTCCAACAAAGTATATCGAGTAAAAGCTAGGGCGTCCCCCGGAAGCGACGCGCACTCGAGCCTGAGAGGTGGGAATAGTGGGCTAGCTATCATCTTACAAAGAGCGGAGAGGGGTAAGAGAGTTAGCTCTTTGAAGGTAACTATCCGAAAACTCA